GCGCAGGCGTGGAGCGAGGCTTCCCGGGACCGAGGCGTGAGAGACCCAGGGCGCGTCCGCCTGGAGATACAGAGACCTTGGGATACGGATCCAGCACCCCGTGCCCGGCTCCCCGGTCTCTGCCCGGGACCCCGGCCCCCTCTGCCCTAGGCCGGGACTTGGAGCGCCCTACGCACACACCTGCGCAGCTCGGAGCGGTGGGGCAGGCGTGGAGCGAGGCTTCCCGGGACCGAGGCGTGAGAGACCCAGGGCGCGTCCGCCTGGAGATACAGAGACCTTGGGATACGGATCCAGCACCCCGTGCCCGGCTCCCCGGTCTCTGCCCGGGACCCCGGCCCCCTCTGCCCTAGGCCGGGACTTGGAGCGCCCTACGCACACACCTGCGCAGCTCGGAGCGGTGGGTGGTGGCGGAGGAGGCCTGGATGGGAGGAGGCCGAGGGGACCCGGGCTCCGTCCTCCTGGGCCTGCTCCTTACCCGGAGCTGGCTTCTCTTCAGAACAACAGAGACAGTGAACTGATTTCCTAAGGGATGCAGCGTCGGAAGAAACCGGCAGTGTAGACTCAGCATTGGCACCAAGTAGGTGCTTAATGAATACTATTAAAGCAGCAAGTAACAGTTTGGAGTATATTAATAGCAGTTCATGGTAATTGTCACTTAAGATGATAAGTGGCAACGTGCTAAATGTTTTGAAAGCGTTTTCTCATTTCATCTTCACTTGGGCCCAGTACAATTATGTTATCCCCATTTCACAGAGGAAGTAATTGAGGCCCGTGAAGGTTAAATCCCAGGGGAAGGACTAGATCAACACAGCTAGGCTCAAGCCCAGAGAGGCGGCCTAGAGGTCCCTTAGACTCCCTGGGTGCTGCCCCGAAGGCAGTGACACTCAAATAAATCCGATCTCAGTGAGAGACTGATTATTTCTTCACAAACAGCCCCAAGAGGAGTCTCCTGGTCCCTTGCTCTAATTAGATGATCTTCCCTCACTTTGGCCTCTGCAGACCCTCCCGACCCACCCCCAAACCAGGGATTTGAATCCAGGGCTTCCCCCACTGGGCCACATCCCCAGCCCTTTTTAATTTTTTATCTTGGCACAAGGTCTTGTTAAGTTACCCAGACTGGGCACACACTTGCAATCCTCCTGCCTCAGTCTCCCAGAGTGCTGTGGTTACAGCCATGCACCACAGCACCCAGCTGCCTCTGTGTACATTTTGAGTCTGAGACAGTCCAGGGGTTCAAGTCCTGGCTCTGCTGTCCTCTCTGTGCAACCTGGGGACGGCCACTTCTGCTCTCTGGGCCTGTTTCCCTCTCTGCAAACGAGGAGAATGATTTAAAAATCAGGTTCAGGCTGGGGATTTAGCTTAGTGGTTCGGCTGCGTGCCTTGCGAGCACAAGGACCCGAGTTCGATTGCCGTTACCAAAAGATAAATAAATAAATAATTTAAAATCAGGTTCTGTCTTACTGAGTTATTGTGAGGATTGGATTAAATTCCTGGGAAGCGCTTAGAGCACTGGCCGGTGCTGAGCACAGTAATCACTAGTAAATAATATTCATTTGCTCACTTGACCTTTAACTGTGTTTGACAAGTGAGGAAACTGAGGCTCAGAGAGGGCAGCTGCCCTACCCAAGATCACACAGCCAGAAGTGTGAGGAGCTGAGCATAAGGGTGCCCATCTGAATCTAGAACCCTTACTACTTTAACCACCACTTTGAATGCTGGCAGCTGTGAGGACCTGGAAAGTCACTGCCACTGGAGTGTAGAACCGTTGAGAGAGGCCGTCTTTGGGGAGCTCCTGGTCTAGTGGAGGAGACATAATAACCGAAGAAGGGTGCATCCTGGGACCCTCACACTAGGATCCAGGCCAGGAAAACAAGTGCAGGTGTGTTTATTTTTTTTTTTTTTTGGTACTGGACATCGAACTCAGGGCCTTGAACTTGTGAGGCAGGTGCGGTGCCACTGAGCTAAATCCCCATCCCACCCCTTTTTCCCCCAGGTGTGTTTGAAAAGGAGCCGCGGAGCATCTTCCCTGAGCAAGTGATGTAAGACCTGAGGGAGGAGGAACAGGGCAGGGGAGGGCGGGGAGGAGGCGGGCACTGCCCCCGAGAACCCGCAGCCCGGGAGGCCCGGCCCGGGAGGGTTAGCACGTGACTGCCCGGTGTGCAGCGTCACAGGGGTGACCCTTGCTTTGGTCATCGCTGTGTCCTTTCTGCCCGACCCAGGGGTGGGCACGTGGTGGGTGCCGCTCGGTGCTGCCGTCTGAACAGATGAATGAGGGCGGGAACCAGGGGTGGGCACGTGGAGAAAGGAGCGGGTGCACAGATGTGTTCATGCGTGGACGGGCGGACCGAGGGATGCTGCAGCGTGAAGGAGAGACGATGACGGACTGATGTGAGGCTGGGCGGGAGGTGGCTGCACGGTGACGGCACGATTGTACGGACAGACGGACGTCGGGGGAATGAACGAAGGGCTGGAGGGATGGGTGCTCACCAATCCTACTGACTCACACTCGCGTGCCCGGAGATAAGTGGAGATGTGTGCAAATACACCGTCATCTCTCCTGGTGACCCCACGGAGAGGCAGACACTGAAAACAGGTCGGCCGTGCTGGGCAGAGCCCGTGCACAGGCAGGAGGGAAGGTGGACCCCCAGGCAGGGCCACTGTCACCACTGCAAGGCTGGCATCACTTGTGGGACTAGAGAAGATGCTGAGTCAGGGATGTGTGTCCCAGGCTGGGCACCAGGCCAGGGAGTGGGGCAGGGACGGCCCAGGGAGGACAGGGTGGGTGGCAGAGGAGAGCAGGAGGGCCGGACAGAGAGAGACAGGCAGAGAGAGACCCGGAGAGACGGAGCGGGGGTGGAACAGCGAAGGAGCACACATTTCTTCAACTCCGCAGGTCCTGAACTTCCGGGAGGCTGGGAAGGTGACACCAGAGGCCAGGGGTGATGGGGGCAAGTTCCTGAGCAAGGGAGCTAAGGTCTGGGAAAGGAGCAGAGGAAGGGACAAAAACACTCCTGCTAGGTCAGAGAAGGCTTCCAGGAGGAGACCTGGAGCTCCTTATTACCTAGGGCGTTTAGCCCAGGAAGAGGTGGCTCCCTCTGCCATCCCAGCACCGGGAGGCTGAGGCAGGACCATTGCAAGTTTGAGCCCAGCCTGGGCAACTTAGTGACTTAGTGAGATCTTGTCTCAAAAATAGATGGATAGGGCTGGGGATTTAGCTCAGTGGTTCCACCACCTGCCTCTCAAGCACAAGGACCCGAGTTCAATCCCTGGCACCAGAAAAAAAGAAAAAAAAAGAAAAAAGAAAGAGAAAGAAAAAGAAAAGAAAAATGATAGATGATAGATAGATAGCGGCGGGCCTTTGAGTAGGAGAAAGGGGAGACTGGGAAAGGGTGTGACAGAGGCAGAGGATGGGTGGGCTGCCGAGGGGCCAGTTAAAGAAGCAGCTTCCTGAAAGGGGCTGCAGAGAGGGAAGAGAGGTGCACTGGATTGGGGGCGAGGGCTGAGAGGCTGTTGGGGCCCTGGGGAGCCACGGAAGGCCCTGGGCAGGCCACCCCTGGGTGTGGGAAGATCTCTCTGCAGCTCCACCGGCCTCCAGGGGAGGGCGTGGGGAAGAGCAGAGGGAGCAGGGAGCAGCAGGAGGGGAGAGCTGGGCTGAGTGGCTACGAGGGGTGTGCACCTGTCCTGCCCGGGACTGGCAGCCAGAAATGGAGGAGGGCAGCTGATTGGGAGAGACAGAGGCATTAACAGGCGGGAAGGGAGCTGCAGCCTCAGCTCTGAGCAGCCCAGCAGCTTCTAGTTGATTTCCTCAAGGACTTGTGTAGGGCTGAGTTTAGGAATGAATTTGGGCTTCAGATGCCAGCCACCGTGGCACACATCTGCAGTCCACCCCCACCTACTCTGGAGGCTGAGGCAGGAGAATCCCCAGTTCGAGGCCAGCTTGGGCCACTTAGAGATCCTGTCTCAAAATTTAAAACATAAAAAGAGCTGGGGATATTGCTAGTGGGAAGGCCCTGGGTTCGACCCCCAGTACTGGGGGGGAAAAAAAGAATCGTTTAATTTTACTAGGCACAGCTACAGCGACAGACAGGTCAGAGGGAAAGCTAGGGTCTAGTCCAGCCTCCTCATTTAGCACCCGCCTACTCACCTCCCCTTCACTCCGCCCCCCCAGCCCAGGCCCCTCCCCCCAGGGTACCAGGCGGCAGGCCCCGCCCACCGTTCCCTCACCTGGGGAGAACCCGGTTTCTGTTGAGACTCCCCTGCCTGATCACTTCCGCCTGACACAGGGCTGAGGAGGGCAAGTGGGGAGAGCAGGGGGCAGACAGGGGAGAAGAGGGACGGAGGCAGGGGCCTGGGAGGACCGGGCGGAGAGGCAGGGAGACGGAGCGAGGGAGCGAGGGTTTCGGAGAGGCGGCAGAGTATGAAGGGAGAGAGGGGCTGGGGAAACTGAGGCAAGGCTAGGAAGATGGAGAGAGGAAGGAGAGAAGCGAGGGAGAAGAGGGCCGAGAAGGCAAGGAAAAGCCAGGAGGAGAGCTGGCGAGAGAGGGCGGGCGGGATGGAGGCCGAAAGCCGGGGAGAGATTGGGGGAGAGCGGGGGAGAGAAAGGGGTGGGGAAGCGGCCTGGCGGAGCCGGGGGGAGCTGCGGGCAGAAGGCGGAAGATGGGAAGGAAGGGACTGGGGCGCCCGGGACGACCTCAAGGTTAGGGGGAGCCGAGTCTCCACGGGCTCCCTGCCTTCCATTTCTCTACTTCCTCCCTGGGGCATCCGAAAGGAGGAGAGAGAAGGATCTGGGAGGAGAAGCTGGGGTGGGTGGCCCGTCCTGAGCCCTCCTTCCCTCCCCGCTGAGACATCCCTCGCCCGCCTTCCCAGGATGCAGCCAGAGGTGGAGCTCCTGGGCTCCCCCAGCCTGGGCAACCTCAGCACGCACAGAGAGGCAGGTACCGAGGAGGGCAGATTTCCTTCACCCACGCACTGAGTGGGAGCCTGGGCCCTCGGGGAGCCCTGGTGGGTCCCTCATATTCCACAATGAGACCCTTCCCTCACCCCCGTATTCACCAGGTTGCTGGACAAGGGCCCCTGGGACCTCAAACTACATTTCCCATGAGCCTCTGGAGTTCCCCGGGCAACACTCTGGGCCCAGGACTACATTTCCTGTGAGCCTCTGGGCCCTTATCGACTGTGAGGCCATTTTTCTCCTAGACACCCTCCCTGTCTCTGTCGGCCACCCTGAGCTCAGCATCCTCCCGTCCCCTCCTCTCTGGTTTTCAATTTTCAGATGCTCCCACCACCCACCCAGTCCCTGAGCTGGGCCCACCCTTCCACCCACAGCCACCTCCCTGCTGTGTGCCCTCTGACTCCTCCTGCCTCGCCCTCCTTTTCTGTGCCCACAGCCCTGGCTGGGCTTTTGTTCTGTGCTCACCTTTTCCCTGGTCTTCGGCACTGACCCAGGCTATCAGTGCTCACAGACTTCCTGGCTTCCCCTTATACCCAGGGCAGTGTCCCAGCCCCTCGGCCTGGCTCTGAGGCACAGTGTGGCCTGGGCCTGGGCCACAGACCCTGTTTTCGCTCCGTGGCTTAGCATAGCCCACTCAGGTACTCAGCATTCTCAGCAGGGATACAAGGGACCTGACCTTAGGTAACAGTCAGCTGGACTTGGGGTAAAAAATAGAAATGCCATTACCTCCTCCAAAAAGAAGCTCAGAGGTGTGTGAGTATAGGGTGTAGGGGTTGGGTTTGGTTGAGTCAGTAGCTCAGGGATGCCGTTAGGACTCAGTTTCTTTCCATCTCCTGACATTTTGGCTTGGGATATGTCATCTTTGCGTACCAGCTTGCTTACCTCATGATCACAATATGGCTGCCACAACCCCATATTGTTATAAGTTCATTGTTAGAGCCCCCAAGTGGTGTCTCCTCACATGTAATTAATTGGTCAGCATTTACCCACCCACCCACCTGTATCTGGCAAGATGAATAGGATTATAATTATTTTGGTCAGGGGTCCACAACTTCGACTGTTCTTAAAAACATTAACCAACCCAACCCATATCTAACTTCAGCTCAGACCCACTGAACAAGAATCTCTGGGATCGGGACCCAAGCATCTGCATTTTTTTTTTTTTTTTTGTATATTTGCTAGGTGATTCTGATGCAGGAAGAGTTGGAAAGCAGCTGGTCCCAGCGGTACACACCTGTAATCCCAGCACTCTGGTAGGCTGAGGCAGGAGGATTACATGTTCAACCCCAGTCTGCACCACTTAAGAGAGAGACCCTGCCGCAAAATAGAAAATAAAAGGGGTTGGAGATATAGGTCAGTGCAAAGGCCCTGGGCTCAATTTCTAGACCAGACTACCCTAACGAAGGCCCCACACGTTAAGCATAATTTACATACACTCCAGCAAAGTGGCTGTTTGTTCATTTCAGGTTTGCTGTTTTCTTTGTGGCATTTGGGAACCAATCAAATTTTTAGTTTTATCTGGTTGGGAACTTAGACGGAGGCCCTGAGAAAGCCTGTGAGCCGCTAATGGACAAGGAGGGAGCCTGTTCTCAGGCAGGGAGGGGCCGCGAAGCCGTCTCACAAACAACTCACAATGCGATGTCACCAAGTGCTCTGCTGTTTGGGGTCGAAAAGAATTTAGAGGTTCCTGCCAGTGACCCTGTTGTGATGCCCTGTTGCCTTGACATTGGCTCATATGGCTAAGGCCTTCTCACCATGCCGGCCTCACTGTGGGACTCAGCCAGCCCCCTCCGCGGCTGCCAAGAGTTCTCAGAGGGGTAGGGGGGTCATTCGTCTTCCTAGCATCGTCCAGGCCAAGCAGGTGCCCCGGCGATGCCGTCACAGGTGGACACTGTTGCCTCTTAATTACTCAACTAGCACTGACTTTCAAATTATACTTTTATTAATTCAGTTACACATAGACCTGTAAATGAAGGTGTTAGAATTGCCACTGTCATTTTTTTTTCTTGTACTGGGGATCGAACTCAGAACCTTGTGCTTTCGAGGCAGACTGTGGCTCGCTATTGCACTTTGGAGACATTTCTTATTCCTTATTATTAACCCTGGGGGTTGAACTCAGAGACTTTGCACTGAGCTACAATCCCAGCCCTTTTCTATTTTTTATTTTGAGACAGGGTCTTGTTAAGTTGTTAAATTGCCAGACTGGACTCAAACTTGTGATCTTCCTGCCTCAGCCTCCCACAGTGCTGGCTGACAGGCATACGCCACTGTGCCCAGCTGTCATTCACAGTTTTATGTCCTGATGCCTCGCTTCAATAACTAACAACATTTTGCTAATCTTATTTCACTTAGACACCCCACCACCACTACCAACACATAAGCTTTTGGGGGACATTCTATAGGACAAATTTGTTTTAAAGAAAACTTCAGATGGCCAGGCATGGTGGTACACACCTGTAATCCCCGCACTGGGGAGGCTGAGGCAGGAGGATCGCTGTGAGTTCGACCAACCTGGGCTACATAGTGAGTTCAAGGGCAGTCTCAACTATAGTGAAACCTTGTCTAAAAAAAGAAAGAAAGAAAGAAAGAAAGAAAGAAAGAAAGAAAGAAAGAAAGAAAGAAAGAAAGAGAAAGAAAGAAAGAAAACAGCAGGTGTAATTTCATATTACCCATAAACATCAGCATGAGTCTCTAATTACTAAGGATTTCAAAAAATCTATACCCCTGTGCCATAACATAATTACACCTGATGAAAAGAACAGTTATTCTTTTTTATTTTTCTCCCAGTACTGAGTATTGAATCCAGGACCTTCAGACTAAGCTACTGTCCCAGCCCTTTTTTATTTTTCATTTTAGGACAAGGTCTTGTTAAGCTGCTAAATGGCTCAGGCTGGGCTCAAACTTGTGATTCTCCTGCCTCAGCCTCCCAGAGTGTTGGGATTACTACAAGTGTGTGCCACCAGGCTCAGCAACTATTATTCTCGAATATCATCTGATACCTACTCCATACTTAAATTCCCTACTTGAGTCAGAAATTTGTTTACAATTTGTTTGAAACAGGACCCAAACCGAGGCCCATGCATTGCATTTAGTTATGCCTATTCAGGTTTTATTCAGGAAATACTTACTGTTGACCAACTAATGCCCAGCACCGGCTAGATACTGGGCTGAAAGTGAGGCCTCTGCCCTCATGCTGGTCACTCCATGTGGGAAGACAGACTGGGACCAACACATCATAGAAAGAGGGTAGAGTTGCAACTGTCCTGAGAGCCAAACTTGTGAGAGGGTGGTTGGTGCTGTGATCCAAAAGAAACTCATTGGTGGAGACCCAGGGAAGCTTGATTTACTGAACGAGGGAGAAGAGAGTCCCTCATGGAGGCACAGCATGTGCCAAGGCCCTGTGGCAGGAGGGACATAGAGAGTTCAGGTCATAGGAGAACGGTAGTGCCTGGTCAGGCTTAAGACATCAGCAGGTCTGATGCTGTGTAGTTCTGTGGGCCACAGAAGGACCCTGGGTCTTCTGTATCCAACAATGAGGCGAACTTGGAGGGCTCTTGGGAAGAATAGGAGGGTAGGAGCAGACCTACATTTCAAAGTATCACCTTGGTGGGAAGACTGGGTCAGGAAAGATGGCTGTTAGATGGCTGTTGTTCAGCAAGGGTAGGGCGAGAGGAAGCAGCCTGGAGAGACTGAATATGCATTTTTGGATCTGGATGCTTTCATTCTCATCCTGATTGTATCATCTGGGGCTGTGTGACCTTGGGCAAGTCACTTAACTTCTCTGTGCTTCCCTTTCATCATTTGCCAAGTGACACGGCCTCAGTAGGTCTTATTGAGGATGGAATGGAATGTGCTTTTAAAAGTGCTTGACACGTGGAAGAGCCCCATAAGCCCATAGTGGTTACTATTATTGTTAAGTGGACAGATGTGAGAAGGTGGCTGGTATGTCTGAGGGATTGGGGGGGGCACAATAGCCAGAGCACACAGGAACTGAGTGCTGGATTGCATGAGCTGGCAGTTAGAACTGTTGCCAGCCAGCCAGTGGCCACAGTGAGGGCAGCCAATGCTCTGTATGTATGTCAAGGGTGTTAGCAAGGACGCATCACCGGAGTAGGGCTGGTTTGGGGGCTTGGGCTCTGGGTAGCCCGGCTTTGTTCTGATATTGGCAGGAGAGCAGGGCTGGGGGAGGGGCAAGTACAGCTCATGCCGTGGTTAAAGCACCTCTGGGCCAGGTGGAGCTCTCTCCGAGCCAGGCACACAGAAGTTCTCCACACCGATCAGGGTGTTTGATCATCTTTGTGGTTTGGGTGGTGTCTGTTTCTGTGCTGGGATGTGATGTGGGCGTGGTCCTGTCTTGGTGCATTGTACAAAAGTGCTTGTGCCTCAGCGGAGAGAGAATCAGGGTCTGGCAATGGCTTTTTTCTCATCCTATATAACAAAAAGACCCCCACCCAACACGAACTTGAAGATAGAAGCGTATTTGTCTTATGTAACGGGAGGCAGGTGGTTGTTTCTGGACACCTCGATTCCATGAAAAGACTCAGGGACCCAGGTCCTCCCCTGTTGTTGCTCAATGTATCCAAACATGGCGGGTTACTACTGCATGCATGCTGCAGCCCAAGAAAAGGGGCAAAAGCCCCCAAGACAAGCAGTTTTCTTTTAAGCAAATGATCCCAAATTTGCACCCCACACTCACTCTGTTAATACTCCATTGGTGAGCGTGTGGTCATACAGTCGTACGTAGCTGCAAGGGAGTCAGAGCAGCTGTGTGAGCTGCAAGGGAGATCAGGCGGCCGTGGGCTGATATAATACTAGGACCGGAGGGGAAGGAGAACTGGCTTAATGGGGTCACTACAGTGGGTCCTATGGGACACATAGATTAGCCAAGAAGGGGTCACATTTTAACTATCATCATCAGCCAAGTTCCAATGAAGAGAGTGGTGGAAAAACTTCCAATTGGACTCAAATACAGTTTCTAGAGGGAGGAGATATTGCTGTCGTGCAGGAGCCAGGCAGAATGACTGAAGGAGGAAATAGGAAAGAGCAAGTCCCTAGCTTCCCCTTGCCTCACAGTCACCTTCTGGTGCCTTTTTCAGACAGAGCCTGACAGAAACCCAACTATCCAAGCAGCAATGCGGTCATGAGGATCTCAGAGATAGAGGAGGGTGGGACGCAACAGCTGGCCTGTGAGCTACTCTAGGCGGCATGGACAACACAAGATGACACCCATCAAGCGGAAGCATACTGAGGACTGATAGTGTGTTCTGTCCTCAGCTGCACTCCTGGTGGACATGGAGACCACGGAAGAGATGCCAGCCCAAGACCTGGGCAGGCCCATCAAATCCTCGTGAGTGGCCCCTTGGTCCCATGACTTCTGACCTCCGCTGCTCCCCTAGATGTGACAGCAGTGACTCCCGACCTTGGAGGACGACCCTGTCTGTCACTTTCTCTCAGGAAGCAGTGCCTGCAGCAGGTTGTTGCAGAATACGAGGCTCTGGACAGAGAGCTGCCATGCATACGGAAGTTCTCTGCCCCGCCTGCCTCCCAGCCTCTCTGCCTTTGCATGGAGACATCGGTGAGTTCCCCCTCTTGTGGCCCCGTGGTCTCTGTGCAGCTCGAGGGCAGGGAATAGAAAGGGTGCGGGTTTGGGATTGAGGTGGGCAGGGTCTGCCGGGCTATGTGGTTTACAGCGGTGGGCTTGGCACTGGGACAGTATGCTGAAAATTGACTGGATTTGTCAAAGGACCGGTTACCCAATTTATCACTGTTCACCCCAGCAGAAACTGAGGAGCAGAGAGAGGGAGGCTAAGGACAAAGGGGTCCTGCTGATCTTTGCCAGGAAAGTCTGCAGTTTCACATGCAACAAAAACTCTCAACGTTTTGTTGTTTTTGAACCCAGGGGTGCTCTGCCACTGAGCTGCATCTCTAGCCCTTTTTATTAGAGACAGGGTCTCCCTGAGTTCCTCAGGTGGGACTCCAACTTGAGGTCCTCCCACCTAACCCTCCCAGGGCGCTGGGGTTGATTACAGCTGGGGTTTAAGGCTGTGTCTTCAGAGCCAGGGCATCAAGGGCTGAGGCTCCCTGTCCCATTCCCCCAGGAGGATTTTACCCACCTGGAGGTACTAGAGGCGCTAGAGGCCAAGTTACCTGGGGCCATGGAAAGCGGGCGAGTGAGCAGCATCCGCTTTGAGAACATGAACGTCATCTGCGGGACCGCGGGCCGCAGAGACAGGTGAGCCGGCACAGGGGGCGGGGCCTGGAGGAACCATAAGGCGGGGCTTAGGGCGCGTGGCCCTGCACGGGCCCTCGAGAGGGCGTGGCCTAGGGCAGCTAAAGAACAAGACTGGCTTCTGCTCGCTAGGGGCGGGGACTGAGTGGGCGTGGCCGAGAGCGGTTTGTAAGGGCAAGGTGGGCGTCCGGGCGTTGAGGGGAGGTGCTAGACTGGGTAGGGAGCCCGAATTCGGACCAAGGAGTGGGCTTGGCGCCAGGAAAGGCAGCTATGAGGGGCAGAATGGGCCGAGCACCTAGTAGGGCCAGGGTAGGCTGTGATAAGGAGGGAGTGGTCCGGAGAGATCGCGATCACGGGGCAGAAGCAGGCTGAGAGCGAGGGCAGAGCTGGAAAGATACGGATCCGGGCATATGTTGACCTCCGCACGAGGGCAGGGCTGGAGTGTTAGGGACGGAATGGCCGGAATAGGTAACTGGGAAGACGCTTGCCAATCCAAGGCAGAGCTGAAGCAAGTTCCCCCTCGCAGGTGGCTCATCACGGTCGCGGACTTCCAGACGCGCTCGCGCCTGCTGCGCTCCGGGCTCAGCCCCCGCGGGCTCGCGCACCAGCTCGTGCGCCACGACGACCTACAGCTGGGTGACTACCGCTTGCACCTGCGCCGAGCGCTAGTCCGGCGGCGCATGCTCGAGGCCCTAGGGGCGGAGCCAACCCAGGAAGACTGACGCAAGAGGGAGGGTGGACCCGGACTGCGCTTCGCAATACGCCCCTGATGGGGCGGGGCCTGACTTCGCGGGGAGGGGAGGGGGCGTCGCCTCCCAGGAAGGAGGCGGGGCCGGCTCGAGGGGGTGGATACTGTGAGTTTAATTATAAAGAATGACCTGGTACAAAAGCCATTTCTCTCTGCAAAATCTTGGTGGGGAGTCCGGGGAAGGGAGGGGGTGGGGGGTAGACACGCACCCCCTTATTATAATCCCGCCTCCCTAAGCCTCCTCCAGTCCCTGAAAATGGTCGCCTGGGTTCTGATCCCTTGGAGGAACTGAGGCCATCGGAAGGGAAGACCTGGGCGCCGGACTTTGGACACGTGCAGATTACAGCCGGCCTCAGCGAGAACCAGACGTCCTCATCCGCCCCTCCTCGTCCCCCTCCCACCCCCCTTGGAAGACAATTCTCAGGCTTTTATTTCAGGTTTTTTTTCTGGATTTGTGTGTGTGTG